CTCGGCCACCCTGCGCCTCCGCTCCTCAGGGTCCTCCTGGGACAGCTCCTGCACCAGGCGGTACACATCGTTGGAGTAGGGGGCGCCTCCGTGGTCCTGCACCAGGCGCTCCACCAGGTCCAGCAGCTCCTGCACCTGGGCCTCCTGCTCCCCACCCACCGCCCGGTTGTTGAAGGCGCACACGCGGCCCCCGCATTCAGCCACCAGTGCTCGCAGCGCACGGTTGTCCGTGTCCCGCACATACTCCCGCAGTGAGCCCCCCCCCAGGTCCTCCTTGCGCGTGAACAGCACAATGGTGCGTGCCATCACCTGGTCCCCGAACAGGCCCTTGAGCGCTCTCACCGCCTGCTGGTCCTGCTCAGTGAAGCGGCCCAGCTGAGTCACCAGGAGCAGCACATGGGGCCCGGGCGCTGACAGCAGGTAGCAGCGGGCCCGTTCCTTGCACCCCGGGTCTGTCTTGGGGACTTGGGAGCTGAAAAGGTCTGGGGTGTCCATGACTTCCAAGTGCCACTGGCCCCACCTGAGACTCCCCACCTCGCAGGTTCTGGTCACTGTGGTGGCCCCGAGCCTGGAGAGGAAGCGCCTGTGGCCCAGGATGGTGTTCCCTGTGGCGCTTTTCCCTGTCCCTGTCTTCCCGGCCAGGATGAGCCTCAGCCTGGGCCCGTGCAGGGCCTGCCTGGAGTCTTCAGAACCTGGAGGACAGTGATCTGTGAGCATCCAAACCTTTAAGCAGCTGATCCTGGTTACCTGGACCCCAGAGCCCTCTGAACCAGGAGAACATCAGGGCCTCAGCTCTGCTTTTCCACAGGAGCCTCACCGAGGTCCTTGCTCAGAGCTCTCAGAATCTGGGGGATCTTGACACTATTCCTGTCACCTCTGGCTTCACCACATGCACCTGCAGATGCTCAACACATGGTGGGCATTTCTCTAGGGGACGCCCCTTCATAATCCCAGGCATGACCTCACCTGCATGGTCCCTGGCCGCCCACATGGTGCAGAGCCGTCCCTATTTGAGGCTTCAGTGGCCTCTGCCATGCTGCTCCCAGATTCCAGCCCAGGGAATGTGGGCAGGAGGGGGAAGTAGGCCTGGGGGTGAAGGGCTGTCTGGGGTACCGGACACCCTGGGCTTGTCCACAGCCCCCCATCAGCCAGCTGAGCCCCCTTGGAAGTTGCTTACCTAAGGTTAAACATTTGTGCAAAAATGGGAATAACAGTGTAGAGTTGTTTCTCCTGGAGTTGCTGAGAGGATCAGAGGAGCTCACCTCTTTCCTTCTGGCTCCCTCCCTCCCTCCCTCTTAAACCTGCTGCCTACTGGTGA